TGTGTGCTCAGCCTCACTCTCAGGTTCACTGACCTCACTGACCTCTTCCCTCACTGGACCGCCCCCTGGCCTCGCCACACTGACCCCCGTGATCCCCGTGACCCCCGTGACCTCCCTGACCCCCGTGACCCCCGTGACCTCGGTCCGTACCGCCGCCAGTTCCTGCAGTGGGACCTGTTCCAGCGGCCGGGGGTGGGGGCGGAGAGCGGGGGAGTGGGCAGTGGCTACTTGATCTACCGCTGTGACTCCGGCCACATGTCCGTGTGCGGGGGGTGGGCGGACCGGCTCAAGGGGGCCATGGTTGGGTACCTCATCGCCAACCTGACGGGCCGGAGGTTCAAAGCGGAGTTCCTCAAACCCAAGTGTGACATGTTGCAGTACCTGGTCCCTAACCGCGTCAACTGGAGCCTCCCGGTGAGCCCCGCCCCGCGGCCCGCAGACTTCGTGGTCGCCAAACACGTGGACGACCACCACTTCAAGAACAACATGCACACCACCAACTTCACCCACCTGTTCCCCCCTCACCCCCGCTACGTCTACTTCCAGGGGAACCTGGACTACATCAGCGGACTCCGGAGGTCTGCGCTCTACGCCCGCCACTTGTCCTGGATGCAGCCACTCAGCTCAGCGGACGTCTATGCCGCTCTCTACAAGCGCCTGTTCCGCCTCTCGCCTCGCCTACACGTGCGCCTACAGAACTTCCTGCGTGAGGCTCTGCCCGCCCCCGCGGGCCGCCTGGTGTGCGTGCACGTGCGCGTGGGCCGGAACCCGTCCATCCGGGAGGACACGGAGGTGAGGAACTCTGTGGACAACTTGCCCAAAGTCTGGCGGTTTGTCCAGAGCCAGGCGCGCGCCCCCTGGGACCGGGTGTTCGTCATGAGTGACGCGCAGGCCGTGCTGGACGCAGCCACACGACAGAGTTTCCTCGACCAGCTGCTCACCATCCCGGGCAAGATCGTGCACGTGGACAAGACGGCAGCTCACGGGCAGGAAGAGGCGTGTCTGGGGCTGGAGAAAGTGATCCTGGAGCAGCACGTGCTGATGAACTGTGACGTGCTGGTGAGGGGACACAGCGGACTCAGCATTATCGCCTCCATGGTGCGCGCCACCGACAAAGACCTCTTCTGCCTGCGGAGAAACGGCGACATTGTGCCCTGCCCCAGAGGCGACTTTTCCACCTTTCTCTAGTGTCTCCTCACACAAACACGACTTTTCCACCTGTCTCTAGTGTCTCCTCACACAAACACGACTTTTCCACCTGTCTCTAGTGT